TCTCCGGCAGACGCACTGTCTCCGTGGTGGCACTGTGTATGATGGTCACTGACTTAAGCTTCAGATTCGAGCGTTTCGCCAGCAGCTTTGTGCTCATGACCTGTGGCAAGAACATAATAAATTATTATATTAATGTTTTAACCAAAATTGGGTGGTTGGGTCGCGTATGAGTGCATGAAATAAAGCATAGATTGGCTCTACATAGCTATTGAGATCAATGGCCAATGAACTGAGCTCTACGGGGTTCAGTTTCAGGTACATTGCTGGCCTCACCATCGCCCAAGGCCTGCATTTTGGCCTCATACTGATCCCTCAGCATACTTGTGACCACACGCATTAACTTGTCAAACAAAAACGTATTAAAACATAACAAAAAAATATTTTTTTTTCGGCTTTCCGAATATAAAAGAAACTTTAGATTCATCACATACCAGTAATAAGAAGACGCCAATAGCGGCCAGAGCTACCGTGTACCAATGATTCTGCACCCACTTCTTGAACGTAGCAATACTTTCCTCAGAGAGCAGCAGCTTACGCAGCGTAGCTAATGGTCCCGACGGATCCACTTCACGGCATTTTTGGAAGACATCACAGTAGCTGTCGAAGACGATGAGATTAGTAAAAAATAACGTTATTGAAATGCCATGGAATACCCATTGTAGTCATTGCAGGGCGTGCCCGGTTTGGAGTACATATCGGGCACATCGAAAGGCGCCTCGTTCCACTCAAATGAACTGCGACATGGATTATCTTCACCAGGCAGCTTGCAGCATAGTTCGCAGGACTTGATACGATCATCCTGTGGGCCTGGTATGCACTGGCACGATTCTAATCCGTAAGCCAAGCAAATGCTGCCCGTACAATCGCCCATATAACATACAAACTCCTTGTTGCAAATCGTTTTGTTGGGCTTGTTCACCGATGGCGGGCACTGGGGCACGCGTCCGTCGCAGAAAGAGGGATCCCGGCAGCCATTGTCATCGCGACACTTGTCGCCGAATTTTACCTTGCAATCGGTGGTGCAGCAAGGTCCCTGTGAAGGACTACAACGCGCATGCGGAGTTAGTGTGCACGGCGTTTCATCCAGATGCGGCTGCCGGGACATGGGAAAACAGCACGAATCCTTGCAGTCCTCCTCCCATCCGCAGTCGCATTGTTCGCCCGGCTCGACTACACCGTTACCGCAAATGGATGACTGGGGCTCAGTGAAGCAGCCCTTCATCGAACGCGCCTTGGCATTCAGCACGGGCTCAATGGATTTCAAGGAGCACGCACTGAATTTATTATTGTTCTTCTTATCCCCCGACGTGGCACGTGCGAACATTATAAAATTGCCATCCTCGCCGCCTGGCGTGCACTGCTCCGGATCGTGCTGTCGATGGGTATGAGACTTTATTAGTTACATATATTTGATATATAGTATTATAGGTTTTAATTACGGGTGAGCCAAAGTTATGGCCAATCTCGTGAGCTAGCGTAACATGCGAAACGGCGGGCGGCACATGTTTTCCATAATTTAGGAGCGTTACAATGCCTGTGTTTAAGGATTTAAGGGAACCGCGATAATGCCCATTCTTTTCGCAAACACCACCAGCATTTTTGAGATCGCCCGTCCAAGCTAAACCCAGGGTGCCCATTTCAAAGTCGCGGTATGTAAACATGTATGCCAGACAGAAGGCATCGTAATCCTCCTCTGAAATATAAAGTAAGGATATTATAAGGAAATCGCAAAATTAAGTTAATTACTGACCTGAGAACAATTCCAAGAATTTTTCCACACCATAGTTGCCGGGAAATCTATAACTAGGATCCTTCATGGCGTTCATGTTGTGCACTTTAATACGCTTGATCATAAACGTAATGTTGTCGGGTTTGCCGTCGTTATTGAAATCCGTATTACGGTAAATAGAATTGGCACGCTGCACGTGGCGTGTGATGGCCTCGATGGAGGCCTCATCGCTGCCCATTTTCTGGAAGAACGTATGATCTGCCTGCAAATATAGCATGCAAGTTGTCTTGCGATCATATAGCAGGCGCGGAGCGTTGTGTATATCATCGCCACGCCCACTCAACAGATTCGTCATCAACATGCTATTAAAACTGGGATTGTGTGGATTGGGTGCGAATATAATCTCCGGATTGTAGTTGTTCACAATGATGTTCGGTTTCTTAGTGGCACCGTTTTTGGTAATGATCTCCACGTGAGTTTTGTGGCTGGGTCGATCGTTGTTGCCCATTGAAAGTGTTGTCCAATTTGCATTGAAAAAGTTATTTGGCAGGCTGTTGTTATTATTGGCATTGGGCTCCTCATAGGGTGTACCGAATTCCGGTTCTATGGGTCGATTGTATGTGCTAACGATAATATTTTTGTGTTTCGTGTACAACTTTCGTACATTGTTGTTGCTGTTGCTATTCGTATTGCTGTTGTAGCTGCGACTGGTGTCGCCTACATTGGAGGGATTATAGTTATTTACAAGTATGTTGCGATTGGGCGTAGGTTTCGTGAGCGTGGCCAGAAAACTTTCTGTGCTACGCATGGTTGATGTTGTGGACTTTTTCGATTCCTCGTCGCTGCGATCCTCTTCAGAGGCGAGCACGCGAAAATCATCGTTGTAGGGCACTTCCAAATCCAACGGCAGCGGTGGATTGCGATTATAATTTGGAACTGTGACATGCTATGGTTGAAAAGTAAAGCATTAATAAAATATATAAATATAAATATATTGTATTGTATTTCTTATTTATTTACCTCCTCTTCGGGTAGCCACCGTTTACGTCTTAATCGCTCGCTGGCGCAGTGAGTCTTGACAGGCGCCTGGGAGGATATGCCACTGGCAAATGAATTCTGCTGCTGCATATTTACATCGCTCAGCTTATAAACTATGCTGTGTACGCCACTCTCTGCCAACTGCTGTGAATATCGCTGCGCTGGCTCTATATAATAGTGCTCCGCTTGCGTCTCAATGGTACCATCTAGGAGATTATCACTTGTGAGTATCGCCTGTACATGGGCTTGCTCATCGTCCTCCAGGCTGCCCGTGTAAATGCGTGAGACATCGTAGTCGATGGCCCCCAATGTATTCTCAATTTGAACATCATGCGCAAACACCGAATTTGGCTGCTGACGCAGCACCAGCAGGAAGTCTCTGTAAATACAATGAATCAGTTTGTATGTAAAAAATGAGTTGCAGTATCAACCCACGCACGTACCTGTCATGTGCAGAGAAATTCAGGCGAATGGTGTGCGCCAGTCCCACAGGTGAACTACTTGAGGGCTCAACTTGCCGTTTTCGACGTGCGCGTGCTTGCTCCAAGTGGCGCAGCTGCGCTGCCTGCAGCACAGCGCGATCAAAGTTCGCCGCCTCCCAGTGCTTGATATATGGCGTCAGTTTATGTGTGTAGCCTTAATAAGAGCGTAGGTTAGCCAAACAGTGGTTAGAGAAAGTTCAATTCGCGGCCTTACCTGGTAGCTTGAGTGGCGTTGGGATTGCTAGCAGCTCGCTGATGGCCAACAGCAACGCCAGGAGCGCCAGCAGCCAGCCCATGCTTCCTCTAACTCTGTGTAGATGTGTGCTGTAAAATCTATGTTCGTGTGTGTGTTTGTGTGTGAGTGTCTGTGGAAACCCAACTAGTTCTAGGCTGTGTTTGCTGGCTTCGATTGACCTTTGTTAGCCCGTCGTTTCTTACATTATTGCAGCAGTTGTTGCTTTGCCAATAAGAATTGCCAAACTGAAAAAATCCGTTACAGCCGCAACGCAAACAACATGCGACATCTCACGCGTAGCTGCTGCAAGAGAATGAGCAAAGCATATATAAATAAGATTATTACAATAACGGTAGGCCGAGCAGCGCACAAAGAAATTGCACTTTTATAAATACGAATTCATACTAAATATCACATACAGCATCCACTTGAGCAAAAGCAAACAACAATATAATAATACAGCAAAAAATCTTGCTTTCACCTTTTGCAGCGAGTTCGTTAGCTGGCGAAATTCGTAACTGATCAAAACAATAAAATATGTATGTACATCTTTTGTTCAAAATTTACGTATATGTTTTGCATAAATGGCAAAAACAACAAACTGCTGGCAAGAAGAAGCACAGCATCAACATTCAGGCATCAGCATCTCATTAGCACTTTGTTCGCACACACACACGCGTATATTTAAACACGAACATGTTAAGCTTTGTGCTTGTGTTTGTGTGTGCCCGTGAAAATTACTGTTAGTTTTTTTTTTGCACACATTTCTACTTGGTCATTAAATGTATTGCATTCTTTTACACTATTGACAACCGTTAAATTGGATAATAATCCTTTACTGTCAGTATTTGTTTGCTTCTGTATATGTTTGTGTGTATTCTTGGAGTGAACCAAAATTCTACTCGTTGCTGTTGTTTTTAAGTAGCCAAATAAAATACGTAAAATTCAATTAGCTAGCGTGAAAGGGGTTATTTTTCTGCACATAACAATTGTTGCACTTTTCGATTTGGTAATTGGATTTAGCAAACTCACAGGCAAAATATTAAAACAACTACAAAAGCACACGAGCACACACACACACGCACATAAACACAAACACACATACGCAAAACAATCGACCTCCGCTCGCTGTTGTATTGCCATTAACGCTGTGGCGTAAATGGTAAGCCAGCCAAGTTTTTTTTCTGGCCTAAACCTGTTCCCTGGCTTATTCACAGGCCCAAAATAAATGTTGGGTTCTTTATGTTGTGTGCATTTTATTAAGATGGTATTTTCAATTCACAAAACTCACTTTTCAATTAATTTAACGCTTTCATTTTAATGCAAATAATTTAAAAACAATTATTTTATTTCTCCCCACATAAAAAAACGGCTGCAGGTAACAAGTATCGATACTCTCTGAGCGCAGCCTACCAACATACCCGATTACAAATGTTGTGTATGTGTTTGTCAACAATAGCAATAGGAATCTGTTATCGATATATAAAACTGCTGATTGTTGTAAGAGATAAACAACTAAAATTTCTGTGGGTCAACAATCAACCACTTCTTTTATTAACGTTTGTTGCTTTTGGATTCCCTTGCGTAGATTTTTAGCATTCTTTTCAAGCTTATCCTTACACGTCAATAAATTTTCTTTTTTTGCATCTAGTGTGCCTTCCATTACAGCCAATTTCTTAACTTTCTGGTCATATTCGTCAAACACTTGCCACCACGTCTCAAGAGTTAAGTTTTCAGGTTCTGTAAGCAGGGCGTGCTCCAAAGCTGCACTACTACTGGCATTGCTTCCTGCCTGTTGAGGAATTTCAAATGACTCAATATCCGCAAGCATTTCCTCTAGACTGGGTGCTGATGGTGGTGGTTCTACTTTGGGTTTAGATTTTTTAAACATTGTTTGATGAATTTCCGACAGCAGATGTTATTTGTTTTTGTTTGCTGAAAACAAAATGATAACGTCAGCATAACACTTAAATAGCTTCTATTTATATATTCGATTTAATTAGTTGATATTTACATGTGTTTAATTGCCTTTAGATCCACTTATAATGGCCGTCGTTTTATTTATGAAATAAACTAAATAATGATCCAAGTGTTGTTGTTTACTTGCTTACAGATTTCTAGTGCTCTACAATACTCGAAGTAATAACCAGGGCTGCATTTTGATTTTATATTGTTTATAGACAACACTAGATTCCCGCTTTAAAGTGCACGACACGCTTTGCTAGCAAAAATATACAAAACAGTTTGTATATATAGAAAAAATAATAATAATGACAAATCGGGATGACCTTAGCTCTGCGGCCAAGCACAAATTTGTGGAAGCCGCGGCTCGTGCTAAAGTTCCACTGGAGACTTTACCATATGAAAGCTACAAGTCGCCTTCTGGCGAGGAGTTTAAACTATATTGCCGCGCCAAGAGCGATATGGATGCAAAGACTCTGAAATGGACATTTAAACTGGCGGAGCAGAATGTCGGCCCATTCTATAAGCAGCTTAAAATGGGCTGGCAGCCAAAGGTTAAACATTCTGAGCTAAATAAGAACTGGGCACGTTTCTTGGTGGCCCAGAATGATCAGAAGCAACCCGTGGCCTACACTATGTTTCGCTTCGACATGGACGGTGGCGACTGTGTGCTCTACTGGTAAATACTGAAGTATTGGAATATGTATCGCATTAACAACATTTTCACATTTTAGTTACGAAATACAAATTGCTCCCGAGTACCGAAGAAAGGGTCTTGGAAAGTTCATGATGCAAATGCTCGAAGCTTGTGCTAGACTTTGGAAATTGGAAAAAGTTATGCTTACCGTGCTAAACAATAATGATAATTCGTTAACGTTTTTTAAAGCGCTTGGCTATGCCAAGGATGAGACATCACCCGATGTATTAGAAAAAGCTGACTATCAGATATTAAGTAAGTCCATGCTGGGCTAATTACTTTAATTATTTAACAAAAATATTTTATGTGCGGTACAAACAAAATATATATCAAAGAATTATTTTTAAACATTTCTTAGTAGCTTTGCCTGCGTCTCAAAGTATGTGGCCATGCGGATGTCTTGGCTGCTCAGGCCGCCAACGTCATGGGTGCTCAGGGTAACCTGTATTTTGTTGTAGCAGTTAAACCACTCGGGATGATGATTCATTTTCTCAGCTAGCAAGGCAACACCCGTCATAAAGCTGAAGGCCTGATTGAAATCCTTTAGCACAAATTCCTTGTATATAGCATCGCGTCCCTCAACCAAGCTCCAGCCTCCATCCAGCAGTGGCTGCAACTTCTCGGCGCGCTCTTGTTCAGTCAGTTTGGCCTAGGATTGGGTAAATTTGTAGAAGCAACAAGTGTTTAGTTTAGAGGGGCTGTGGTCTGTGGTCTTTACTGCCCTTGGGGCCAGTTGCTGACCTCGCATGGCCTCAAGCGATAAGTGCGTTCAAGCCGATATACATATATAAGACACATTTTGTTTTCCGACTTTTGGAGTATTTGGCAATTGGTTTTATTGCCCCAGATATTAATTTATTCACTTACCACCATTTTTCGTTTTTTCGCTGTTGCGGTTGCTATGAGAGGTTGCTGTTTGCTGTAAAATCTCAAATGGCCAACACCAGTTGCTGCTGCTGCTCTTTCTGCTCTCGTTGCTGTCGTATACAGAACTGAGCTCTCATATCTGTTGCTGCTGCTGCTGCTGCGCAATCAGAGCTTCTCAAATCTTGTCAATAATCGCAGCTTATACTCACCAATACAAGCGTTGCGACCCTTCACTCCATTGGTTTACGTTCAATGTTTTTGTTGCTGCAGTCGTTGGCCAGCAAAATTTGTTTCGCTCGTTAAGCAGACTTGCAAGTTTTTGAAAGCTTCGCATGCTTTGCGCATATTTATTTCTTAGTAGCATTCTAAATAACTGGTTTACATATACATAGACCGGGTATGCTGCTCACCAACCACGATAGCTGATACAGCACAGCTGAGAGGCCTTTGAAAATAATAAAATGTTGCAGCTGATATAAATACAGAAAACCATCTAAATAAAATCTGGTCACATCATTTTCTTATGTAGCAAAATTCATGTTTGTATGTTATTTAACAGCGCGCTGTTAGCGCCTTCTGCAATTGACAGTTTCTTGGAAACCTGTTGCTTAAATTTGAATTTAAATTTGAATATTGATATATTATTTATCTATTATTGATACTGCACATGTTATATAAATGAATGTGTATATATTGAGATTGACAGACTTGTAATTGTGGTTTACTTATGCACAATATTATCTGCTTCGCCATTGCCATAGTAGTCGTAATCCGGACTGGTTGTAGAAGTGCCCATTTTCCGGCGTTCCGTTGAAGTAACGGGCTCCACGACCCGCCCGGTTGTGTTCTCTGGCATCACTGTCGTAGTCTTACGCCAACGTAAGCTGTAACGACTGCGCACAAATGGGGCCTTGGTGGCAGCGATGTCATGACCAAGGGCTATAGATTAAATGGATTCTAAAATATACATCAAATGAAATGTACATGACTTACCCAAAGTAAAAAGGCAGCAGCAGAAAACCAAGAGAAATGCGAGTTTCATTTCGACAAGTTTTTAGTAAAAACTGAGGCAATGACTGCTGTTTACGCTGCATTTATAGGCAAAGGCAATTCAGATAATCCAATTCCCTTGGGTCTATCACAGTGAAAGCTGGACACAGCTCTGCTTTGCATGTCCCAAGGGTCCACCCTACTAAGTGCGTTCACCTCAGATTTTTTTTTATTATTAATTTATTTATCTTTGATGAACACTTACTAAGCTTATTAAATTACATTATTGAACGACAATATATAAAATCGAAATGCTTAAAGAAAATGGTAATAAATACGTGTATATTTCGTAAGGGGCGGTTCCCCAAAAACGCCTCAATTATCCTTTGGTCTGGGGCGCTTTGGACCCGAAGGTATTGGTGGCGGCGGTACATCGGGCACATCGATATTTTTATTCTCTGACCCATTTTTGATGTCATCGAAACTGGGCGTTGCATCTAGGCTGTCCAGCGGCAAAGGCTTGACCTCTGGCTCTGGTTGTTGAACGGCCGGCGCATCAGTTGCAGGAGTACGCGTCGGGTATCCTTGGCTGGGATAATAATCGTAGGGTGGCAAGTAGTTTTCGCGCGGCCGGACGTAGCCTGCCTGGTCATAGATCACTGGGTACTGCTGAAAGGAATAGGGCGGCAGATGCATGGGCTGACCGTTGAACTGGGATGAGAGTGGTATCAAAACAGGCGGTAATCCTCGATCATTAAGAGGTAACGGAAGCTGTTCCTTGCCCTTTAGCTCTTTGGGCCCATGTTCATCAACTGTTGGCGCTTGGGGTGCCAGCTCCTGTTGCGGTTGCGGTGGCGGCTGCTGTTCCCCAGGCAGAATGTTGGGCTGGTTGGGGTCAAAGGATGCGTAAACAGGCGGGTATTGCGGAGCTGTGGGCAGTGGATACGGCAGCTGCAAGGAGATAATAAGATTAACTATTTATAGTTGTAGCCGTTGCCGACCACCTTACCCGCTCATTGGGCGGCAGACCTGGCACCAAGGGCTGACCAAATCTCACAATTGGCGGACTGTAGAAGCCAAAGGGATTAAATGGCCCGAATGGCGCATAGCCCGGCTCGTGTATGGTGGGTTGGATGACCGGATAGGCGCGACTCGATGTCAGATTGTCGTCCGTGGTGATGAGCGCATTGTAGACTTTCGGCTTCTTGCGCAGCCGACGCGCGCCCTGACAGCAGCTGATGCATAGCGAGAGCGCCAAGAGCAACGCCAGCAGATTGATCTGAAAGTGTGGAGGGGAGAGTGAGGAGACATTAGCTATATTTAGCTGTATTGTGGCCAAGTCCATGATTTGTCACCAAGACTATTTAACGCAGTTTAATTGATTGCCCAAGCGATCATCAATCAACGAATTGTTTACACCTTGGCCGTAATTGTGTCCAATCTTTGACGGAAGTTTGGGATCTGCGTACAAGGAAGCCGGCGCTGAATGGAAGACCACAAGTTCGACGTCAGCGCACATGACTTTCAAATGCCAAAGCAGAGTAGAGAGATCGATTCGCTTCGATCTCTAAGCAACTATTGCATTCAAAACGTGCTACGGCAACAACACGAGAAACAACAGCAACAAATAGAACGATCTATAGACATGTGTGTTACCCATTGTTGTGAATTAACTACAGTTCATTAGTTTTGAATTGAAATGTAGATTGTTCCTTTAATTGGATTACTATGGAAGCCGATCAAACCGGACGGCGGACCAACGCGATCGACATGGGCTAGAGACCATTGGAATTTTGAGCCTTTCCTTAGGCAGCTTTGTCATAGGTCCGGTTAAACGAGTTGACCACTTGGCATGGAAATGCGCCAGCCCATGAAGTTGTAACCCACACACACACATACGTAAATACGAGCTTATACACACTGGGGAGTGTGATCTGTGACCGAGTTTCCGTTGATCTTGATCTTAGCATTTGCACGCCCCACTCACTCCCATTTGTAATGTGCGCCGACTGCGCTCAGATTACCCCAGAGACATATCTGCTGGGCTTCCCCTTTTGGAGCTGCAGCTGGTAATTGGCTTTGCTTTCCATGCATTTCACTTTGACTTTCCTTTGGCCATGGACAACAACAATCAAGTAAACAAAAAACATTCTCCGCCCACGCACCAGCTCATGATTGCCCGCCAAGCATTACCCGATCTCCGATCTATAGATGTGTGTGTCTGTCTGTGTGTGTGCTTTCCAAAGACGATCAGAGAGCAATTTTGAACGCTTTTCCTTTTTGGCTTTGAAATGAATCCAATTGTTAGAAATTGAATCAACAAACAGCAAACGAAAAGCAATAGCAACAATTGCACAGCTCGTGCCGATCATGAGACGATCATAATGATGATGGCGATGATGATGTTCATGCTGTTCATGATGATGAAGTAAGTAAGTGCACTTCAATTCTCGAAATTGGGCCATGTTAAGTGCCAAAAGTCGGAGCTACAACAGCAACAACAACAATAGCAACAACCACAACAACGAAGATCGTTTGCTGCTGCACAAGTTAATGCGGTTCGCCTTTGAAGATCACGCTCTTGGCCCTGGCAGTGCTTAGGCTTAAAAGCCTAGGCTCAAGAAATAGCCGATTATCAGCTCTGTTTTTATGATGTGGGTGTGCCAAGTGAGCATTGGAAAACTCATAAACATTGAAGGAAAAAAAAGTAACGTTGAACCAAGATGATCTATTGCTCTATAATGAAGTTTGAGTGGGTTTTTTTTTTTTGTAGCATTTCACTAAATAATTGGTTGAACTTTGCGTATGCGCAAGTCTTGTGGGTTAGATTTTTTAAATCTGACTAATGAAATAATTATTGTTATGATCGCCAACAGGTGTGAATCGGTAGCACTCCCAAATTTGTTTACTTTTGAACACGCAATTTGTTGGGCATTTTGCGTAGCTTCAGTTTACGCTCGAAGATTTAATTGCTTAGCCCATAATCTAACAATTTTTTGCGATTTTTAAAAAATATGTATATATTTTATTAACAAAAGTTGATACATAATTCTCTATGGCGAAACTAAATTATGCTAAACTGGAATATACAAGTTTAAAGACTTGCTTAATTATTTATATAAGTATATTACTCAGACTAATGATGGAGCCATGATGAATATATATCAATTGGACGACATATATGTATCAGTATACCATAAGAAGAAAAGTTTCGCCCAATGCAATATAGTTCTCGAGGCACTGTATCAGTTAGGGTATAGCCATAGTCTGTATTACATTGTAATTTTAGCCTTTGCACATTTAATTCAATTCGTATCCCATACAATATTCATTTAGTTCTGACTAACTAAGTCTTGCTCTCAGTTGCGCTGTGTTCTAGTGCTTACTATATAGAGTTATGAATGATTTACGATTTGTGGCCGGTCCACTTATGTATCAATGTATGTGCGCACTCGTTCGCTTTGTATATGCTTTGTTTTTGTATAACTAGCTTGCATTGCCAGTTTTGCATGTTAGACGCTGAGTCAGCCAGCAGCGGCTGGCCCGAGTCACGGCTAAGAGATCAGAGACCAGTTCAAAGGCAATAAAATGGACACAAATGTGTAACCTTAAACCTGGCAAAAAGCAAAAAAGTGAAAGTGCTCACACATGGAATCTATAACAAATCAAACTGTCTGTCTCTTGATCTGATTCGTCTGTCCGTTCGTCCGTCCGTCTGTCTCTCGATCTGTCGCAATGTCTGCCCCAATAAACACCCATCGCCCAGCGGTTAGTATTTACCTTAAAGCTGTGCATGGTTTGTTGCCTTTTTGGTATGCAAGTTGAGTTCTGAGCGTGTTCGCAGGAAGCTCAGGAAATGTCCAAAAAATTAACACATAAATCGTCAACTGCACTCGGGATTTTCTGTTTCTGTTTTACTTTATATGTTTCTTTTTGTTTTCCTCTTGACTTCTGTTTACTTTTATTTTTGTTGAGTTTTCGTTTTTAAACCTTTAAAATGCACAATTTGCGGACGTCGCACGACACGTTGTGACTTTATTAAAAACAAGTATAAATTATATTGCAATACATATATATATACTATATATATGTGTCTGTGCACAGCAATAACTAAATGCAACGCGAACTATAACGGAGCTCTTTAGCATGGGATCTCACGAGTCGCAACTGTCGGTCGGCTGCGCACGCGCGTTTCTTATTGGATTTTGAGCGAGCACTGGGCGGTCTTCTACCTTTTATACCTTCGACGGCGGCAGCGACGTCGACGCCAACGTCAAATGCTGCTCAGTTGCCGCGCTGTGGTCGGCTTCGGCTTCGCGGAGCTTTATGACTCGCTGCAGGAACTTCATTCGCAATTTGGCCCAGATTCGAGCATCCAGCTGGAGGTTTTCGCAGTTCACTCGTGCAGCACAGCAGGAGGAAGTGTCCTTAATCTGAAGAACGTTAAGATATATTGTCGAGTTGTTGCTTTTCTCTTCAGCTGAACACTTTGGCTAGAGGTGAAATTCTTGTGGCAATTTAATTCGAGTCTCAAGAACACATTTTTATGTCCTTTCGAATTTATATGCTTGACCCGTTAAGAGGTAAAATACAAGCAAGCGATTGAAGTGGCTTTCTAAAAGATTGAAGCCTTGCGGGAAATTAGCACTTGGAAGATTTTTAAAGAGTAGAAAAATAATGAAAGATTTTAAATATATATATTTAAATTCACAATAAATAAATAAAAGACTTACTTGGTAAAAAATATATTTTCACTATTTTAGTTTATTTATTATCAATAGGCTGTCGGAGCTTTGGTTAGTTATCTTATCTTTAATGAAGTAGGGTATTAAAACTAGGTTTACCTCGCTTCTCTTGAGCTTTTGTTTAGATTTGATTTAATTGCTTTGGCAGCGCAATCAATTCGATGCAGTTAACTGAGCGAAAGTCAAGAATAATGTGCAAGAGACAGATAGAGAGATGAAGAGTAAGAGAGTGAGATAGGAGAGAGAGAGAGAGACTGCTACTTGCTCTGGTCAGCGATCGAGACTTGAGCCAGCAATGACTTCCATTCTAAGTCCATAGCCAATGCGCTTAACAACAATAGTTTCACTTTCATCCACACAATGGGCAAGAACTACCACGGATTGTAGCTATTGTTGTTGTTGCGGTTGCTATTTTTGTTGTTGTTTACTAGTTACTACACACACACACCCCACACTCTGTACCAAAAACAGATATTAAATTGCCCCCACAACAAATCTCCAACTGCTCTGGCTGGCATGATGAATATACCCTGTAATTGTGGGTGCTGTGAGAAGAGGTATGCTGCTGTTGATAAAGCATTTGTGAAGGTCAACCAAAGTGAGTGTCGGATATCTTATCGAATGTTGAGATATTCATATGAATGTATATATTCCTGTAACTATATAATTTTATACAATTTTCTAGGGTATATTTAGCCTGCCATTTCTGTTCGCTGTTCGCTTTGCTGTAGTCACGTTCACTGGCAGAGGTGATAAGTGTCGGTCTGTCAGCTGCGCGCATATCCCAGCCACCCACGCACACACACACACACTCCCTAATGCACACACACTTGCGCAGACAGAGAGACGACTGGAGATGCCGACAGCTCTTGGGGTCAATCAACAATTTGTAGATTTCTTGTTTCTTTTTGTTTTTTTAATTTGTTGTTAGTGTTTGTTGCAGTTGCTGTTGTTATTGTTGCTGATGTTGTTGTCGTTGTTGTTGCTGCTTGCCTCCTGTTGCGTTTTCTTTATTGCTTGAACTTTCGCTTTCCCTTTTTACGCTTGCCGTCCGTTTGATTGGCATAATGAGTATTTGAACTTTTCGTGGCAGCCTGATCTGGCAGGTAACAGTTCATTAGATGTTGTTGCTGTTGCTGCTGCTGTTGTTGCTGTTTCTCTCTTTGAGCCAGGTGTGTCTTATCAAGTGCCTGCTCGACCAATCAAATAAATGCTATGAATTATGTTCGCAAAGCTTTCTACAGAGAAAAAAGAAAATGCAGTCTTAATAAATAATATATTATATACAACATTTTTGTACTAATACTCTGTGAAAAAGACATTGTTTGAAAGGAACAAATTTAAATTAAATTATATATGTATAATTTTTGCTTGCTATCTTTTATAATTTTAATTACGTAAATTATTTATTTTTAATTAATAAATAATAATAAGGTTTGATTGAAAGAACTATTTTTAATTTATACTTTGTATAAAAAAGGCTGGAATTCGATACATTTATAGAGTTTGCCATTTTATTTATTTAAATTACAGGAATTTTATTTGAAATAGCAAGAAAATCATGAAAACGTAAATAGCAAGACGTTATTTGCTTATGGTGTTGAATTTGTAACGTTTAAGATACTAGTGTTCGTTGCTCACTACAAAAAGCTGACTGCTACAATCGTTTGTGAGCTGCACAGCTTTGCTGCCAGGTGGCGCCACAACACATTTTCAGATAGATGGCGGCACTGTTCGCTTTTCAAATTACATACGAATCTAGTTAGGAACAAACTTATTACAATATGAAAAATGAGAGCAGTAGATGGCGCCACTGATTGTTCTTTGCCATTCAGAGAGATCTGATCTGATCAGCAGAGATTGTATTAGAATTATTATATTCGGGTTTTAAGAGTCTAAAAGTCTATCATGAATTCCAATTGCAGCAGATGTTGTTTGCTACGTTATCATAGGTGTGTGTGTGTGCCTGTGGTTTTGTCGGTATTTGGAACTTGACAATTACTTTGAGACACCTTTAGCCCGTTGATAAGACAATCAATGTGAGCCAGTCAATCACATTTGCTTGCGCCGACCTTAGAAGGTGATCATCAGATCGATTCAGACCCTCCCAGTTAGCTATAAATACAAATGCAGACGCAGCACAAAATTGCAGTTGCAATCTTCGCCAAGTGAATCCCAGCATCTTCTCAGTTAAATCGAACATGAAACTCTTTATACTTCTGCTGAGCTTGACTCTGGCCCTTGCCGATCATCACGAGGGTCACTCTCATGACCATGGCCATGGCTCCTCGGACTATGTGGTGAAGACGCACGAGGATCTGGTCAGGTTCCGCAATATGTGCGCCGAGCAGGTGCATGCCAGCGCCGAGGATGTGGCCAAGTATGTGAAGTGGGACTTCGCGGATGAGGAGAAGAGCCGTTGCTACCTGAAGTGCATATTCGAGCATTTTGGCCTGTTTGACGCCACGCACGGCTTCGATGTGCACAAGATCCATGAGCAGCTCGCCGGCGGCGCCCACGTGGACCACTCGGATGAAGTGCATCAGAAGATCGCCGACTGCGCGGACAACAATGCCCAAGGCAGCGATGCCTGCACCTGGGCCTATCGCGGCGGCATGTGCTTCATGCGCTCCAATCTGCAGCTGGTTCAGCAGAGCGTCAAGGCCTAAGTTCCCAGATCTCGCCCAAAGGAATTAACAATGTTATTTGCCAAAATAAACTTTGTGTTCTCTTTATTGGATCGCTTGCATTTGCCTCTTGTACTCCCTCAGCCAGTGTCCAAGGGTGCCAGCCGTGGCGCATTTGTAGGCCGCATAGGCCCACTGTGCGGGCTTCTGCTGCAGCCGGCGCTCTCTGTTGTTGCAGTACTCCACCACCAGCAGTAGCTCCTCGGTTTGCTGGTGCGCTGCAAAGATTTTGGCTATGCGCCGGGCATTGTAGCCCTGCTCGTCGGTCCACAGGCCCAGCTGCTCCACGAGGCATCTCAGCTGGCTGGCCCGCTGGCCGGCTGCACTCTTTTGGCAGCTCCGCTGAATGCGCTGCACAGCCTGCGCAGTGGGCAGCTGCCAGGTGGGCGTGTCGGCCGCCCACAATGCGCCGATCAGCAGGCAGAGGCACAGGCACAGTAAACTCAGCTCCAACTGCTTCATATTGACTTATATATGGGGCACACGCATCGCTTTATATAGAGAACGGGAGAGTGTAGCTTCGCTGTCGTCAAATAAACCAGTTGCGATTCCTGCCTTGACATTGACATTAGTCAAGAATTCGTGGAACTCGACGCGTACCACAATTCTAATTGCCGGCCCTCGCACGTAATGGGCCGCAGCTAGCCGGAGACCGGACATACATGAGGCACTTGTTCTGTTTACGCTTTCGATTTGCCTCCAGTTTATTATGGCCATTTATTACTCTGTCATTGACCAGATAGCATCTTTATGACGCGCTACCTGCCTCATAAATTCTAGCTGCTGCCATAATTACCAATAGAAATTGTCACATGTGTACATAATTTTGTGACTAGCATAGTTGGAGCCGAGGTAATTCAGTTGTTGCTCGGATTACTCATCTCTTCGTTTCCACTCTATATAACACATTTATGTAGAGCTCGCATCAATGGAATATTTTGGCTTATTTCAAGTTTAGTGAAGTGATTAAAAGCAAGATTTTTCGTACGCCTCTACATAACTCACAATGAATATAAGTATATTAGATGCACTTTGTTCCTGCTTAAAGATAATCAATAGCTGATAAGCCTAGGGGCGTACATAAGCTCGGAATCGCAAATTGAATATTAAATATTAAATATTAAATTTTTGTCTGAACCGTGACTAATGTATGCATTAAATAATATATATTAATTAAAATACAAAAAACATATTCTGATTAGTTGCTGATAACCCTCAGCTATTTCGTCTGCTAATTGTCTCAATATTTCAATTTGTATTACAGTTTAGTTTCATTCATTTATATGCTGATTATTATCAAAACCCTTTAACAATTAATATAATTAATTTAATACAATTATATTTTTATTTGTACTTGTATAAATGTATAAAAAAATTAATATGTGAACATGTTTAGAAAATATAAAAAATTATGATATATATTGCATAATAATTGTACTATATATATAAAACAATTATTAATATTCATTGAAAAGTCGGTCAAGCTTTGCTTTATCGCCTATGTGAACATGTTTAAAAAATATAAAAAATTGATATATATTTTGCATAATAAATATATAATTATATATATAAAACAACTATTGATATTCATTGTAGAAGTCGGTCAAGCTTTGCTTTATCGCCTAATTAATTCATTAAGCAGTTGCTATATTTTTATTTAATTTTTTTACAGTATCAGATTAATGCTTATTTCCAATAAGCTTTATTTCATCATAAATTATCATCGTATTTATAAATGATGACACTTCCCAAATTATGTGAGTTCCTATGTACATATATCTATAGCTGCCTAATTTTCCATCAAGCGGATCTCTCTATTCATACTTGCCCGATTGCTCATTTAACTCGTTATGCTTTTAATCTAATCTCCAATAGACTGTTATCTATTTTATATTTTCATAGTCGTCCCTTAATCTTGATTACTGCCTAGTCCTATAGATCATATAGATCCTAGTTCATATAGATCCTTAGATTCTCCTAAAATTGTCATACAATTGATTGCAGTTTCCAGCTAAATTTTCTGCATTTACCACATGCATATATTAGATACCCTTTCCGCTGAACTACAATGGGGTAGTCTAAATTGCAACTGCAATTATAAGCTTGCGGCTGATTGCGCAATTCGTGGCTTTGGGCAAATTTGCCGAGTGCATTGCAATCAGACGTGAATTTCAACTTTTCTCTTTTATTATTTCCTCAGCCTTTGACTGCCGTTGTAGAAGGCGCAAGAGAGCAAACAGAGAGTGTGAGAGAGAGAGAGAGACAGGGGGGTACCACCACATACATAGGTGACTTTCTCCGTTGACTGTGACTACTTCATTAACAACTCGCTGTGTCGTTTTCACGCTGCAATAGATCTTTCCGCACCATTCAAGCTCAACCGGTGCATATGTCAGCCGCGTTTGACAAAGCTAATTTCATTGCGACGCGCGCACCGAACCGGGCGCTACGTAAGTCCCCCAGCCTTCTCCGCCCATCTCCGTCTCCCTGCCCGCTTCTCCGCTCTCGCACGGCACCACGCAAAATGCCAAACAAACACTTCACACGACCTATTCAATTATTTCTCAATTAAATGTCGTGTAAAGAAATCATCGAAAGAAATCGTCATCATCCTCTACATCCCCATCATCAACGCCATCATCGCCATCATCGTCATCATCATCATCATCATCCCCATCGCCATCATCATCAATATCGTAGCTGCTGGCGTTTGCATTGAGGGGAGCTCATCGTTAAACCCTTGACACTTTTGGCGGATCGCTCAATAGGTGGCCCTGCCATACGCTGGGGGCGTGGTCTATGGACCGGGGCGGAGCGGTGCGAGGCGTGTGCATTACAGTCAAAGGCAAAAGTGAATTCAATTTGATTTTTCATTTCAGCGAGCTTTGGTTTTGACTCGAACTGAACGGATTGAAGAGAGTAAAACTAGAAAAGGATTTGCAAGAAATATAGTTTGATTGTTGTTTATATTATAATATGGTATTATATGAAACTAGGTTATATATAGATGTGAAACTAGGTTATATATACGAATATAGTATAGATATATTTATAATATAAATACTGTATAATATGGGTTTGTTTATATGGATGTCTGGCTAGTAAGGCTTTTGGCTAAGAACAGACTAACTGGGATACCTAGATACTTAGGGATACTTGGGTTTATATTTTGAAGGTGTCCTCTTCCTACATTATCAATATTTATTTTTCATAGTTTGTTAGCTAGCTCATTCTATATCTCTCTCTATCTCTCTCTCTATCTCTCTCTCAATCTCCCTCTCTTTCTAGCTTATCTGCATCTTTCTTATTCTGTCTTCCGCCCTCATTGGCTTTCACTATGTCTCCCTCTAACTCTCACCTTCTCCTCTACTCTAGCTCTCTCTGTCACCTTCTCTGTCTCCCCTGCCGGCTTTCTCCCCCCTTCATATCGCCATCTCGCTCGCACTCCCCTTCATATTATTTCACTCGCTTTGCATTTGATTGCGCCCTGAATTGTTCACTTTGGAGTTAAATGGTCTGCGAGTTGTTTCTTTTGATGCGCATTGTTTCTGTTTGACGAATGCCTTAACTGCGTGGTGCCTGCAGGGGGCGTGGCAGCGGTGTCCAGTCTGAACTGTTTCCATTGTATGGCCTATGCTCCGGCCTGTGGGGCATGCCCCATTGGGTCAGCGGCAGTCGCCCATTGAAGCCGCTCTAATTGCAACTTTGAAACTCAATTGGGTGGCCCAACGGGTGCATGGAACCACTTTGCGACTTGAACACACTCACCCAACCACTCACACACACACACACACACACACACTCGCTTACACTCGCCCACCAATTAAATAAAAAATTGTTGTTTTGCGCTTTTTCAGCTTGTTTTCCCAGCATTTGCAGAAAATGCACAGTTTACTGTATACAAAATTTCACAATTTGCGGCATCCACTTGAGGTTTTCATTCAGTTTTTCCGTTATTATATATACATTTTTTTTTGCACATGCTGTTGGTCAGGGCCCAGTCATAAGGTCAGCTCTGCTTTGTATGCTAGGTGGCATGGTGGGCTGGTTGGGTGGTTGGGTGGTGCACACGTGCGGCTTTTATGTTTCTTGTTGTTTTGTTTAAAGCAGCGGGAAATCTTCGCTGGGGCTGACTGGCTCCACTCGGCCGAGTTCGTGTGCAGCGGCGCGTGTGTCTGTCCAAGTGCGACAGTAAAAACTTTTATGTAGCCCCCCTCCCCCTCTCCCACACGCCTTTCTCTCTCCGCTCGCCGCATGCCTCCACTTGGCAGTGGGCGTGGCCAGCAGGATTGGCAGCGACGACACATTGTGCTAAAAGTTCTGGCACTCCTGGCAAAGTTTGAGCAACTTTTGCACACAGCAACTGGCAGCTAAAGAAGCGCTGCAAAATGCTAGAAAATTGGAATACTTTCCAAAGTCGAAAGTTCCGGATTTTTATATAATGCGCAATACCCCTTAGAAATGTGCAGAAGAGCGTATTATTGGGTGTTGCGAATGTGTGCAGAGGCTGGAGTAAGATATGGAACAGCTTACACTAGATATATTTTTGAGCAATTTTCATGTGAGAG